GAATACTCTGGGGGAAGTGCTGACGCTGAGAAGTCACTGGTGAGATCATTGTACACAATAGGAAGTGGCTCAAGAAATGCAGGTTGAGACAAGTTGAAGCAGGAAAACAAACCCCACTAATTTACAGCAATCACAAGCGCCCTGGGAGTCCTGTGGTCAGCAAAGATGCTATGTTTTCCATCCTTCAAGCCCTGACATGTATTTATAGAAACAGCGGACACGCAGTCCTATCAACAGGGTTGATACACTCTCTCCCACACTACAGGCTGTATTGCCGACTTCGCCTGTCGCCCACTATGACCCCTAGGTCTTCCTCAGCTACTTCTGTAACAAACCAGCATGTTGCCCACCACACCTGTAATGTTTAGCTGGGGACTCTTCGTGTGGGGTCTTTCCACCAATACATTTTCATGTGCACGTTTGTCCATGACCTCAACACTCCAGTGGCCTGTGTGTAGAATGACATGAATACAACTCTCCAGGAAAGAGGCCATGTTGAGGCTGAGGGAATCTTTCTGGGGTGGCAGATCTGTGGGCTTCTGAGAGATCAGAGACATGGTCACAAGAGAGAGTAGAGAGATGGTGAAGCAGAAGCAAAACAGGGAAGAAAATACCTTGGAGAGAAGGGCTGATGGCAACCCATCATAGCAGGGATGCTGACAAACTATAGAACCTGATGCGGGGTACTAAGAAATAGAGAACACATCCTATGCCCTGTGGACGCAGGCAGTACAGAGAGAGAGGCCCATAGGGCCAGAGAGAGATGCAGAGAGGGAATGAGGTGGCCTAAGTACTGGCCTGACTCCAGAAAGCACAAAACCCTCCTGAGACATCTTCCTTCCCTAGATACCAGGGCTAATAGTAGAGCCCAGGCCTCGGTGGGCAGAGAAGTCGAGTTCTCTATAATCTTGGCTCTGAGTCTGCGCATAGGCTGTTCCTACTGCCTGGCATACTGTTCCCTACCTCTCACTCCCATTCTACTCAAATGTCAAGGTGCAGAAGTCCCCTCCTCTCGGAAGCCTTGTCTGGGGTGGGTGCTCCTCAGGGCCTCAAGACCCCTATCAGAAATCCTCTAGCTCTTCCACTGGACTTCTGGTACCCTGACGCATCTCTGGTGTGACGCAGTACCACATTTCTTCCCCATTTTTCCATATGCACATGAGGCATTTAAATATTTCTTTTTTTTTTTTCCTTTTTGTCTTTTTTACTGACCGGTAACGGGATCGCAACCCTTGGTGTCACGCCTGCACTGGGGACCGGCAACGGGATCGCAACCCTCGGTGTTGCGCCCGCACCGCGCTCAACCAGTGAGCGGGAACCGGTCTCCACATGGGATCCGAACCCTTGGCGGGAGCGCCGCCACACTCCCAGGCGGCGCACTCTCCAGTGCGCCACCGGGCCGGCCCCTAAATATTTCTTGAATGACTATATGAAATGGAGTCTTGGGGAATGAAGGGATGCTAGGTTCTGCTGAGGGTGTAGCCAGTGCGGCTGGGAACACAAGCTTTTGAAATATGGGGAAGATTTTCTTAGAATCCTTTAGCTGCTCAACTGGAGGCATTTCAAATCTACCAATGGGCCAAAAAATAGGAGCTACAGTGGTACCAGCAGGGTACAGAAGCACTGCCTTGTGGAATATGGGAGAGCTATGGGAGCTCACGGGGAGCAGACACCCCGAACTGGATTCCAGCTCGTAGTGGGAGTCAGAGAAGCTCAGAGGACACCATGCCTGAAATCTCACCATTTGGGCTTCCAGCATTTGTGCTCCAAGTCTTAGAGTCTGTGAGGATTTATTCCTGACAGCAAGGCTGGGGTGTGTGTTGGGGTTGAGGTAGGGTAGCAATCTACAACATTCCCTGCAGCAGGGAGCATGGGAGTCCTCAGGAGGAGAAAAGACTGTTGAAAAGCAGAAAAAAGGGATTGAGAAAAGCTTTCATGCATGTCACAGCTGTGCTCAGACCTGGCCAAAGGCAGCCCACGCTGGCCAGGGCCCCTCCCTTAATGCCCCAGTCCAGCCAGGCACCCCCTGGCTGGCTGCCCAGGGTTTGCAGGGGAGGCCACGCAGAGCTCCCTAGGAGGCTGGCTGGGAGGGCAAGTGGACCGTGGTACGGGGCCTTGGTGTGGCAGGACAAGTACATTAGAGTACCTCGGTGTCTACACTGTAGCTACATAGCAGTTACTTGAACTTACATATGTTTATATGTACCCATTTAAAAATTTTATTATTTTAGCAAAATAAACAGAGAGAAAAGACTAGAATCTTGGAGGACCAATGCATTGCATTAATTGTCTGGGACGCACTTAAGCTGCCAATGCCCCACCCTGGGCAGGGCTGGGGTGGGGAGAGGTTGACCCCATCAAGGGATGGAGCTCCAGCCAACTCAGCCTCCTTCTTGGAAGGTGCTTGGCTGTGTGTCCCAAATTTCCCAAACAACTTTTCAAGTCCCAGTCCTCTGGGATGCCTGACTCTCCCCTCTGCCTCCTCCCTAATCCTGGGACTGCTGGAACCCCCAGGAATCTGATTTTAGGGGGGAAACAGCAGGACCCACAGAGCTCATCCTCACCCACCGCCTGCTTCCATCCTCAAATCGGCCATGTGAGATGGGATAGAGCTGCCATATCTTGTCCAGACTATTTTGTTGTTTCATCTCCACCAGAGATGGCATTATACCCTGGCCTGAATCTCTTCTCCACAATTAACTGGGGATTGGGAGGAAGGCAGTAAAGAACCCCACTATCTGGGGACTCTCATTCGTAGAAAAAACAGAGGGGGCATCTCTGAGTTGCCCCAGAGAGCAGCCCTGGGATTGCCTGATACAAGTCTTAAGATCTCAGTTCAGTAAGAGGATCTGCTTCCTAGAAGGGCCGTGGGAGTTGTCCACGCAGATGGTGAAGAGCAAGTCACACTGTCCTCCCCTGGGCCGCCTTCAAACCACTGGAGCTACTAGATATTGCTTTTAAATCCTATTTCTGTGCCATATTTACTCAAGGAGCTCCTCCTAGACTTTTTTTCTTTCTGTCTGACTTTTTCTCCCATGGAAGGCCGCAGATGGCAGAATGCTGGATTTGAATCCTAGCAGTGTGGCCGGGAGACAACCCAGGGGACGTTTGGCAATGTCTGGAGACATGCTTGGCTGTCACATGGGGGGGGTCGTGTGGTGCTACTGTCATCTACTGGGTAGACTCCAGGATGCTGCTCAATATACTACAATGCGTAGGACAGCCCCTGACCACAAAGAATTATCTGTCATATATGTCAACAGTGCTGAGGCTGAGAAACCCCTGCTTGGAATAAT